AATATCGCCTCTGAAAAAAATTTAAAAAAAATATTGAAAGGTATTTTCTAGAAGATACAACAAATTTCATTTACTCGCATATCAATTATGTGTGTACAGAACGACAAAACAGTCATTAATGCCGTGGTGGTGTGACGAAAATGATGATCATAACAATGAAATTTTAGAATCATATAGATTCAAGTCTGTGCATCTCACAGAGAGTCAAATAGTAAACATTCGTATAATTGTCACATCAAAAGTAAAGTCCGTCAGCGAACATTTGAAGTTTGAATTCACAAACCAAGCCATTTTGGGAGAAATATCTAATACTCATATATTTTTTGTTTGCCTACTTGTTCCCAGATATGATCTTCATTTTCCATCTTGTTGAGACACAACTAGGGAATTTTAGCATTGTTAATGAAGTTGGATAGCGGATTGAAATCTCAGGATGACTCAAAGTAGAGGAAGGGGAAGAGCAGAATGTGAGTGTAAGCTTAAAATTTAAGAAGTTCGTAGCATATAAAGTTGAAAATATACATAGCAATATGGTTGGCCTTAAAAAATATAGTAATGCATGTGTTCTTTTCTTTCAAGGATATTATTTAAAAGGGGACAACTTAATCCGTAAAAGAATCTCCCAGTATAAATTTCATTTTCTATATTTACAGTGCAACCTCTAGTACGTGTAATTCAATATTGGTGTGTTTTTACTAGCCCCTTTACTTCTTTCATGTAACTGATGTTCAATTTTTCTTATAAAGCATATACAAATAATGGTATTAATTATCAATGGAATGTAAAATATTCTTATGATTAATTGCATGCTTTGGTGGTCATTTATTTAATTTGTTGAGAGTTTTCACTTTCCGGCTCTCTATACTACACTTCCACACAATCTTTTTAACAACAAGTTGTCTTTTTAAATAACATGATCCTTTTAAAAATCTGATGGCATATTTATTTTCTGAAACAAACATAAAGCTTTCTTTTGTAATGAAAAAAAATATATATCTGAGATAAAGTTACTGGAAGTGTGATGAGATGAACAAAGTTGTAACTTTTCTTCTTGACAATATCTATGTGCATGTCGGTATCGAAGTTTGTCAAAAAGTTTTATGCAATTGAGCTGCTTCAATAGCAGATGTAATCTTTAAGTGTTATGAATCAGAGTGTATTGCTAAACTTTAAGTAAAAAGTGAAATAACCAAAATACCGAACTCCGAAAGAAATTCAATGGAAAGTCCCTAAGCAAATGGTAAAATAAAAACTCAAATACATCAAACGAATGACTAACAACTGGTATATTTTTGACTTGGTAAATGCAGTGTCTTAAAAAAATGTGGATTTAATCTGGTTTGATAGATAGGAAAAGATACCACTCGTATGACAGTCGCATAAAGTTCCAATTCATTGACACGATAAAGTTAAAAAGTAAAGTTCAACAATATCTACCGTAACCTGGATGACATTCTTAATTTTTGCTAAATTCATCAAGAATTCTCTACATGTACTACCCACATTAAACCAAAAGATATTTCTTTGAATAAAACAATAGCTGCTCTTGTCTAGATTTGGGTAATTCCATTTCACATGGAAGCTCCATGCTAAATTTTACGCTTAAGAAATGATTCCTTATTGTAAATGGGTTTTTTTACAATTGTTTTTGTTCCTTTGGCTCCATCTTACGGTGTTGATATAGCCCACGACGTTCCCCATGCCATTGTCTCAAGTGATTCTATAGATATCATTAACGTTATACCAAATAGCGGGTTATTTTTGCTTTTGTGGCAGATTAATGAAAATGGCAAAAATGAATTCGGTCAATGTGTATGCAGATGTTCGGTACCTTTTAATAGGTAAAGGTTAAAGCGTTTTGTGAATAACTTGTTTTAGATCGGCAGGTCAATAACGGTATATGTTAGTTTTAACACTAAAAATACTTCCAAATTGCAGCATATATTAAGAACTAGTGCCAATTAACTAAAAGAGCGATGGCTACTTTGTATGTTATTTTATCCTTAATAATTAGCATGCAATTCATTTGTCCATATTATAGGGTTGTTCTTTTTTAACTGATTATTTTGTTGTTCATGATGTGGTGTTTATCATGAGTAATTATTTAATTCTTTTTATTTGTATCATTTGTCACATAGATCTGTGTATATATCAAGCTGATATTACGTAAAGTCTAAGATATTCCTCCCTTTTCGAAAGTCACATAAAATATGATACAACGAATAAATGAAATGTTATTGTGTTAGACAATAGGATTAATGATCAATGCAAAGCCCTTTTACAAATGACAAGGTGTGCGCTCTAGGTGATTTTTTGTATTAAATGAATATTCGACTCGACGTAAAAAGTTGCAAACACCTAGTCTGAATACCAAAGACCATGATTGCACTAATTGTTTAATTGTTTCCTGGTCTGCTGAATGTCTGCTTCATGTCACCGTTAGATCACCCACAAGTTTTTGGTGGGGTTCGTGTTTCTTAGTCTTTAGTTTTCGATGTTGTGCCTTGTGTACTATTATTTGTCTGTTTGTTTTTTTTCTTTTTTAGCCATGACGTTGTCAGTTTGTTTTCGATATATGAGTTTTAATGTTCCTCTGGTATCTTTGCTCTTCAGCTTTGAACCTGTTTTGGCTTTCGAACTTTTTTTATCTAAGCGTCACTCACGGGTCTTATGTAATCTAAACGCGCGTCTGGCGTATTAAATTATAAGCCTGGTACCTTTTGATAGCTATTATTTGTGTGTGTCTCTGTCCTGTATGTTCTTCCATTTATTTGTATTGTAGTCCTGTCATGTAATCTTGTCATTTTAATGTTATATTTAACATTGCCATAAAAGCGGGAGGTTTAGCTAGCCTCAAAACCAGGTTCAACCCACCATTTTTTTTCTTAAAATGTCCTGTACCAAGTCAGGAAAATGGCCATTTTTATATTATAGTTCGTTTCTGTGTGTGTTGCATTTTAGTGTTGAGTTTCGGTTGTTTCGTTGTTCTCCTCTTATATTTGATGTGTTTCCCTCAGTTTTAGTTTGTAACCCAGATTTGTTATTTTCTCAATCGATTTATGAATTTCGAATAGAGGTATACTACTGTTGCCTTTATTTCGTGCCTCTTCTATAATGATATTAAGTGCAAGCGATTCATTTTATACAAATTTTGAAACCAATTTGAATTAAACGATTAACAAAAAAATATTTTGTTATCAATTTCCTAAAACACTTTAACATTGCTCTGTACAATAACGAATGATTGCGTCAATAGAATCACATGACTTCTTTTGTATGTTTAAATTCAAATTGCCTTATTTACTATTTAAACATTGTTTTCATTCACAGTGGCTGTTCGTTATAACACTGGTAGGATAATAATTTCTTTTATAATCTTCTCCACACATAATTTAATTAACTCACGACATTAAAAAGTTCTCTGGGCAGAGCTAATCTGTACATTTAAAACCTCAAATTAACTGTAAAGTTTATTTTTGTCTTACTATTACGTCATAATAGATCAATCCACAACTTAGTACAAAATTCATCGTTTTGAAATGTGATGTATTAGAGTAAAGGACGAAAACAGTTGTCATATTCCGCACTTGGTACAGGCATTTCCTTATATAGAACATTGTGGATTAAATCTAGTTTTATAGAATACATTTTGTCTTTAATAATGGGTGTGTCCACCATCTAAGGCAATCATTGCTGGTAACCATAGCCTAAATTAGAAGTCGACCAGTTCTTTGTTCAGTTGTATATCAAAAGCTCCCAACAAGAAATTCGTGCCACGTCAATAGTGCGGTATGTCAATGGTTTACATTTATCTAGTCAGAAGAAGTGTAGCAGCATGAATACCAATAATTTGAAGATTACTCGTGAATTGATGAGAAAAAAAAAGTGTTTTGCGTGTTTAAGTTTATTAGCATACTGTCAGTTTATAACATTTATCACATATATTTGGGCCATTGACTCACAAACTTTACATAAAAGTATTTCGGATTTGTATTCAGTCTGTGAGTAATTCACCCCAGTTTACAAATCAATAACTTCTAGACAATATGCTTTGCATCGTATTTTTTCACGACATTGTTTTACTTGCATCAAGGACATCTCCTTTCTTATTCAGAATATACAAGAGTCTTTGTATTTTTCAGCAAAACTAAATCACAAGGCAATATTAGGCAAGCTATGTTTTAAAGGTATTAGTGATGGCTTCTTTGTTCAGTGGTGAATTTTACAAAGACACCACTGTACCAGGAAAAACGGCAACAAATTTCAACTGTAAACATTATAATCTAGATAAAGAATTACACGTTGATTGTTCTTACAAAAACTTGACAGTTGTTCCAGATACACCAGCTGACACGGTTTACCTCTATCTACAAAATGATTTAATCTAACAAATATTCAACAAATCCTTTGCTCCTTTGAATAGGTTGGTTGCCTTAGATCTATCTTTCAACAAAATAAATGCAATCACCGAAAATTCATTCACAGGCCTTCATGATCTGCGGTTTCTTTATCTTAGTAGGAATCAGATACTTAGTTTGCCAAAAATGTATTAAAACATTTAGTCAGTCTCACTGTATTGGATCTATCCTACAATAACATTAACTCAATTCACGAGAAAGCACTTGGTGGACTTGTTAACCTACAGCACCTTAAACTGAGCAATAATGGGTTCGAAGAAATACCAAATGACACCTTCCAATACACACCAAAGCTCGTTATTCTTGATTTATTTTATGATTCATTATATTCAGTAACTAAGGGAAATGTTCACTGGACTTGGAAGCCTGCATCAGCTTAATCTGGGTGCTCACTTCATAAAAACAAAACATATTCAAATCAATGTGTTTCAATCATTACGCAATCTAACTGTACTGAATTTATTATTCAATTCGTTGCATTTAGTCCATCAGCAAATGTTCGCTGGGCTTCCAAAGTTGCGAAATCTCAACTAAATGACCAATTAATTGAAAGAAATATCAAATCATACCTTTTAAAATTTAACGGATCTAAGCATACTGGATCTATCAAATAACGACTTGCAATCACTTAATGAAAAGACATTTTTAGGACTTAAGAACCTTCAATTCTAAGACTCAACGTTAATAACCTTGAATATAATACGGAACAGTTAGCACCTGGGTGTTTTCAACCTTAAGAGTCACTCAAACAACTTTATGTTCAAAAGAATAATCCTCCACGGAAAGTACTTTCTATGTTCATTCTTCCGCTTGAAACAGTTAAAGATTTGAAAATGTTGGATACGCTGGAATTAGATGTTAATTCCGAAGACGAAAGAATACTAGGGATTGGATTTTCTTCCTTACATAATCTTTCTTCACTAATTTTTAGTGGTGTCCGTAATTTTTCTTTATATAATGAAACCTTCAAATACACACCAAATTTGTCTCATTTAAGCATTATAGATTGCAATGTTCTGTTCATAGAAACAGGAACTTTTTCGCTTTTAACCAAGCTTGAATATGTATAACTATACTTTGTGTGCTATGACCTTTCCTCTAAGCCGTATACATTGATTGATATCATTTTAAGTTTATCCAAAACACAATTGAAGTCCTCAAAATGAATAGTGTTCTTGTATGAGAAATGGTGCCTTGGAAAGATATAATTGTTCTATTGTTTGAAACGCCAATACGTGAACTTCATATAACAAACAATGACCATTGTGCTGAAGACGCTCTTGCCGTAAAGAAAGTTCTATAGCAGCACAAGTTAGTTTGCAAAGTCTTGATTTTAGTGACAATTGGATAGATAAGATATATCTTAATCTACCTTTTGTTACATTTTTTAACTTAACGGAAAATGCACTTGGTCCGTTCTTAGCGGATAATAGCTACATGCTTACAAAAAAAGCAGACTTGAGTATGTTTGTCTCTCAAAGAATTCCATCAAGCATCTATTTTCCAAATTGTTCGTTGACCAACCGTATCTGCGCCTAATTGATTCAAGTTGGAATAAGCTGTCAGATGTGAGTTTTGATATGTCTTTTTTGGTAAATTTAGAGATTCTGAATTTGTCAAGTAATGCAATACGGTTTTTGGATGACGAATCAATGGCAAATATCGACATACTTCTCAAACAAAGTAAAATAATTAAAGTTGACTCTAGCAACAATATGTTCCATTGCGACTGTTCCAATGTTCCTTTTCTGAATTGGGTGAAAATTAGTCGTCGTCATTTCATTAATTTTGATCAGTACAAATGCAATTCTAACCATGCAAGTAGTTCGAAATTCAATTCATTTGAAGAAAGAATATTTTTTTTACAAAAAAAAATTGTTTGAACTATATTATTTCAATAATGATCACGTGTTCCACTGTAGTCATCTTCATAGCAATATTACTTATAATTGCTATTCACAGAAACAGACGGAAACTCCGTTTTATGTTTTATACATTAAGAGGTAGATGTCACTTCCTATACTAAAAATAAAGTTAACGAAGTTTTCGGTCTACAAAACACTCAGAAAACAAGTTGGATTATATTTATGATGCCTTTCTGTCATATTCAGATGAGGATCGAGCATTTGTTTTAAATGATTGCATAAAAAATCTTAAAGAAGAAGGAAATTTAAAGTTATCGTTAATCATTGTGATTTTGTTCCAGGAGAGGATATAACAGATAACATTACACATGCAATAGAAAACAGCCGAAAGACCATCTGTATAATTACATGGTATTTTCTACAGTCTTATTAATGTATGTTTGAATTAAAATGGCTAGAAAGAAAAGTGTTCACTCAAGAAAAGGAAAAAACTTTGTCTTTCTTGTATTTTATGAACAATTATTTACTGAGGAGTTTCCTTTGTTTTTTTTATGAAGTTTATTTTAACTACAACAATTTTTGTACTATTACGAATATGTCCTGGGTCAGGAACAAACTTGTCCTCCTGTTACAATTATGTACCCTACAAGTTTACACACTTGTCCTTGATCTCTTGGTACAATTATGTACCCTACAAGTTATCACACTTGTCCAATACGGTTCAACTATACGGTTCAGCTTGTAAACTCCAATTTGTACAAGTCCGTATTTCTAACAGGCACCAACCCGTTCTTTATTACACTTAAGTAATAGTAACTATTATAAGAGACAACGATCTCAAATATCAACGTACCGTAATTTCAGGTCTTTGTCTTCTAAACTTATGACAATCGACCCTGAGCAAAATATTGCTCCTGCTTTTATACTCCAATGGTAGCCGTACCATTCTTTAATGAGGGGTGTTCTACAAAAGTGCCTCGTACTCGTATTACAGTTTCCTTTGGAACACCCATTCTATTGGTTTGAATCAATTATTACATATATCTGTGTACATTGATATATCAATCTCATTTGCAAAGTGTAAGATATGCCTCCCTTTTTCGAAAGTCACACCAAAATATGTTACAACGAATGCACGTATTTTATTTTGTTGCACGATAGGAGTTATGCCTTTTCTCATATAACATGGTTTGCATTCTAGGTGACATTGTTTTAACTATATGAAAATGGGGCTCAACATAAAAACTTTAATCAATGATCATGATTGGAGTTCTATATTTTTATTTGTGTCACTTTTATCAGTACATGATTTGAAATTTTAATATGACGTAACCAATTCATCTTTCGAACTATGAATAGAACCGAACAGCAAGCTATAAAATTCCCCAAAATAACTAGTGTAAAACAATTCTATTTTACAAGTCTTGAATAATTGAAAATGAAAACAAATATTTATCTCTGCGTTTTTAAGGTCTGTATATTAGTCTTTTTGGAACTTTGGGTCCTCATTGCTCTTTAAACTTTATTCACAAATTAACGTCAATGAACCAAAATATGTACAACTGCTCTTTGCGTTCTCTAATAAACTTTTTATAACTATTATATTTAAAATATATACACTTGGTACAAATTTGTATTATTACATATTTGTCCTGGGTCAGGAACAAACTTGTCCTCTTGTTACAATTATGTACCCTACAAGTTTACACACTTGTCCTTGATACATTGATATATCAACTTCATTTGTAAAGTGTAAGATATGCCTCCCTTTTTCCGAAAGTCACACCAAAATATGTTACAACGAATGCAAGAATTTTATTTTGTTGCACGATAGGAGTTACTGTAAACCAACTTATTCGCGGATATTTTTTTTTTCGCGTTAAGCCCTTCTATCCCTTTTTGCGGCGATTTAATTTCGCGATTTTCAAATTTACTTGAAATATTTGAATAAGGAACGATCTATTTTTTACATATTCGCGACGATTTATATTCGCGTTATTTTTCTTCTCGCGAAAGCCGCGAAAATAAGTTGGTTTACAGTATGCCTGTTCTCATATGACATGGTTTGCATTCTAGGTGACATTGTTTTAACTATATGAAAATGGGGCTCAACATAAACACTTTGCTTGATACAAATGCAGTGTAACTAATCTAAATACAAAAGAGAACGATTGTAATAGGTTTTGTGGTTTACTGAATGTCTATAAAGATATTCACTGCAAGCGATTCAATATATTCAAAGTATGTTACCAATTTGAATTAAACGATTTACAAAAAAAGACTTTGTATCAATTTCCTAAAACACTTTTACATTGCTCTGTGCAATAACGGATGCTTACGCCAAAAGATTCACACGGTTTGTTTTGTATTTTTAAATTTGAATTTCCTTATTGACTATTCAAACATTGTTTTTATTCTCTGTGGCTGTTCGTTATTAAACTGGTAGGATAATAATTATTATTATTATAATCTAGTCTACACAATATTCAATAAACACACGACATTGACAAACTCTCTGACCTGAGCTAAGGTGTTCATTAAAATCCTCAGGTATACTGAACAGTTGATTCTTTCCTTACATAACGTCATTCAGGATCAAAGAGACAAATTTGTACAAACTTCATCGTTACGAAATATGATGTATAAGCGAAAGGGACGAATCATCTAATCTTTAATGTATGAATTTATTCAAATTAATGTTAACTGTTAACCGATTCGGTTCCCTCGGTGCAAAATTGTAATTACTTTGATATAGTGACGTCATGAGCATAATTTGAATACATAGAAATTTAAACATGAAGTTTGATTTACTTACTTAAAATCTACTGAGATCATACTCCAAAAATAAATACTAGTAGTTGACTCTTAAAGCTATTGCTAGTAAAATTGGTAGTTGGAATTAAATAGTATGAAAAATAATAAGACAAGGTATTAACACTAATATAAAGACCTTAAAAACGCAGAGATAAGTATTTGTTTTCGTTTTCAATTATTCAATACTTGTGAAATAGATATATTAAAATAAAGATTAGACCGTTGGTTTTCCTGTCTGAATAGTTTAACACTAGTTATTTTGGGGGATTTTATAGCTTGCTGTTCGGTGTGAGCCAAGGCTCCGTGTTGAAGGCCGTCCTTTGACCTATAATTGTTTAATTTTGTCTCATTCTGACTTGGATGGAGTGTTGTCTCATTGGAACGCAAACCACATCTTCCTTTTTCTATCAATGTCATTCATTATTTGCTCGTCCAAATATTAAGTTCTATTTATAGTTCGAAAGATCGAAAAATGAATTGGTTACGTCATATTAAATGTTCAAATCATGTACTGATAAAAGTGACACAAACAAAAATATAGAACTCCAAGGGAAAATCAATACGGAAAGTCCTTTATAAAATGGCAAAATCAAATCTCAAATACATCAAACGAATAGAACACAGCTGTCATTTTCCTGACTTAGTACAGGCATTTTCTCATATAGAACTTGGTGGATTATATCTGGTTCTATACAACATGTTTTGTCTTTAATAATGTGTGTGTCCACCATCAAAAGCAATCACTGATGGTAACCATCGCCTAAATGAGAAGTCGACCAGTTCTTTGTTCAGTTGTATATCAAAAGCTCCAATCAATAAATTCGTGCCGCGTCAATATATAGTGCGGTATGTCTTACTGCCAGTTTATTCGTGTATCTAGTCAAAAGAAGTATAACAACATGACTACAAATAATTTGAAGATAAATCGTGATTTGATGAGAGAGAAAAAAAAGGTTTTCAAGTTCCTCAGTATTCTGTTAGTTTATATCATTTGTCACATATATCTGGGCCGCAAATTCACAAATTCATTTCGAATTTTATTCAGTTTGTGAGTAATTCGCCCTAGTTTACAAATCATTAATTTCTAGAAAAAAATAATTTGAATCGTATTTTCACCACGACATTGTTTCACATGAGTCTAGGAAATGTCCTTTCTTATTCAGCAAATACACGAGTCTTTGTATTTTTCAGTCAAAAAGTAAATCACCATGCAATATGAGGCAAGCAATGTTTTAAAGGTAATATTGATGGCTTCCTTGTTCAGTGGTGACTGTTACAAAGACAACATAGTACCAGGAAAAACGGCAACATTATAATCAACATAAAGAATTACACGTTGATTGTTCTTACAAAAACCTGACAATTGTTCCAGATACACCAGCTGACACGATTTACCTCTATCTACAACATAATTCAATCGGACACATATTCAATAAAACCTTTGCCCTTTTGAATAGGTTGGTTGTCTTAGATCTATCTTTTAACAAAATCACTGAAATCGATGAAGATTCATTCAAAGGCCTCTAGAACCTGCGGTTTCTTTATCTCAGTAGTAATCAAATATTTAGTTTGCCAAATAAAGGCAACAGAAGTATACGACTGTTCGAAATTCATAAATCGATTGAGAAAAAACAAATCCGGGTTACAAACTAAAACTGAGGGAAACACATCAAATATACGAGGAGAACTACGACACAACAGAAACACAACATTAAAATGTAACACACACACAAACGAACTATAATATAACAATGGTCATTTTCCTGACTTGGTACAGGACATTTTAAGAAAAAAATGGTAGGTTGAACCTGGTTTTGTGGCTAGCCATACCTCCCGCTTTTATGGCAATGTTAAATATAACATTAAAATGACAAAATTACATGACAGGACTACAATACAAATAAATGGGAGAACATATAGGACAGAGAAACATACGAATAATAGCTAACAAAAGGTACCAGGTCTAAAATCTAGTACGCAAGACGAGCGCTTCGTCCACACAAGACCAACCAGCGACGCCCAGATAAAAAAAGTACGAAAGCCAAAACAAGTACAAAGCTGAAGAGCACTGAGGATCAAAAGTTCCAAAAGGTTATGCCAAATACGGCTAAGGTTATATGTCTGGGATAAGAAAATCCTTAGTATTTAGAATAATTCATACTTTTGTAAACAGTAAATTTATAAAAATGACTATATAATAGATATACATGATAACACCGAAGTGGTGACTAACTACAGAATAAAAACGGATCCAAAAAATGTATTTAAACATCTAGTCAGTCTTACTGTGTTGAATCTATCCTATATTAATATAAACCCAATTTATGAGTACACATTTTTTGGACTTGTCAACCTTCATCACCTCATATTGAGCACTAACGGAATCGACGAAATACTAAATGATACCTTCCAATACACACCAAAGCTTGTCAATCTTGATTTATATCATAATTCATTAGAGTCAGTAACTAAAGGAATATTCAATGCACTTGGAAACCTACATGAGCTTAATCTCGAGTATAATTTCATAGAAAATATTGAAAACAACGCTTTTCAATCGTTACTCAATCTAACTGTACTGGATTTATCATCGAATGCGTTGCAGTCAGTAAATCATCAACTGTTCGCTGGGCTTACAAATTTGCGTAATCTGGATTTATCATTGAATGCGTTGCAGTCAGTAAATCATCAAATGTTTGCTGGTTTTACAAAGTTGCGTAATCTGAACTTAATGTTTAATCAAATGAAAGAAATATCAAATCATACCTTTAAGGATTTAAGTGATCTCAACATACTGGATCTATCATTTAACAAGTTGCAATCACTAAATGAAAAGACATTTTTGACATTTTTACCTATTGTGTCTGTTTGTTTTGTTCACGCATCGTTGTCAATATGATGGAACTTGATGCGACTGTCATACAAGTGAGAGGTTTAGCTAGCTATGAAACCAGGTTCAATCCACCATTTTCTACTTAAGAAAATGGCTGTACCAAGTCAGGAATATGACAGTTGTCATCCGTTCGTTTGATGTGTTGGAACTTTTGATTTTGTCATTTTTGAATTTTCCTCGGAGTTCAGTATTTTTGCGATTTTACTTTTTAGGACTTAATAACCTTCAAGTTCTAAGACTAGACAATAAAAACCTAAGATATAATGCGGAACAGTTACCACCTTGGTGTTTTGAACCTTTATGGTCACTTAAACAACTTTCTGTTCTAGAGAATAATCCTCAACGGAAAGTCCGTGGTACGATCATTCTTCCAGATGAAACAGTTAAAGATTTTAAGTGTTAGAAATGCTTGAAAAAGATGGTAATTCCGAATACGAAAGAATACTAGGGATTGGATTTTCTTCCTTACATAATCTTTCTTCACTAATTTTTAGTGGTTTCTGTAATTTTTCGTTATATAATGACACATTCAAATACACACCAAATTTGTCTCATTTAAGTATTATACATTGCAATGTTCTGTTCATAGATACAGGAACTTTTTCGCTTTTAACCAAGCTTGAATATGTACAACTATACTTTGTGTGTTATGACCTTTCCTCTAAGCCGTATACATTGGTCGATATCATTTTAAGTTTATCCAAAACACAAATTGAAGTCCTCAAAATGAATAGTGTTCTTGAACGAGAAATGGTGCCTAGGAAAGATATAATTGTTCTATTGTTTGAAACGCCAATACGTGAACTTCATATAACAAACAATGACCATTGTGCTGGAAGACGCTCTTGTCGTAAAGAAAGTTCTATAGCAGCACCAGTTAGTTTGCAAAGTCTTGATTTTAGTGACAATTGGATAGATAAGATATATCTTAATCTACCTTTTGTTACATTTTTTAACTTTACGGGTAATGCACTTGGTCCGTTCTTATCGAAAAATAGCTACATGCTAACAAAAAAAAGCAGACTTGAGTCTGTTTGTCTCTCAAAGAATTGCATCATCTATTTTTTCCAGGTTGTTCGTTGACCAACTGTATCTGCGCATAATTGATTTAAGTTGGAATAAGCTGTCAGATGTGAGTTTTGATATGTCTTTTTTGGTAAATTTAGAGATTCTGAATTTGTCAAGTAATGCAATACGGTTTTTGGATGACGAATCAATGACAAATATCGACATTCTTCTCAAACAAAGTAAAATAATAAAAGTTGACTTTAGCAACAATATGTTTCATTGCGACTGTTCCAATGTTCCTTTTCTGAATTGGATGAGAATAAGTCCTCGTCATTTCATTAATTTTGATCAGTACAAATGCAATTTTAACCATACAAGTAGTTCGAAATTCAATTCATTTGAAGAAAGAATAATTGTTTTACAGAAAAATTGTTTGAAACTATATTATTTCAATAATGATCACGTGTTCCACTGTATTTATCTTCATATCAATATTACTTATAACTGCTATTCACAGACACAGACGGAAACTCCGTTTTATGTTTTATACATTAAGAGGTAGACTTCACTTCTTATATTATAAAATAAAGTTAACGAAGCGTGTTCGGTCTATAAAACATTCAGAAAACAAGTTGGATTATATTCATGATGCCTTTCTGTCATATTCAGATGAGGATCGAGCATTTGTTGTAAATGATTGCATAAAAAATCTTCTAAAAAAAGGAAAGTTATGTTTACACCATCGTGATTTTGTTCCAGGAGAAGATATGACAGATAACATTATACATGCAATAGAAAACAGCCGAAAGACCATCTGTATAATTACAAGGTATTTTTTACAGTCTTATTAATGAATGTTTGAATTCAACATGGCTAGAAAGGAGAGTATTCACTCAATACATGGAAAAAATGTTGTCTTTCTTGTATTTTATAAACAATTATTTACTGAGGAGTTTCTTTTGGTTTTTTTATGAAGTTTATTTTGCAACAATTTAAGCCCCCCCCCCCCCCCCCCCTCCAAAAAAAAAAAAACTTGAATGGGAATTAAGAATTAACACCAATGTTTTTGTATACTTTTGTAACGTGTACACAGGGTAAATAGTTATCAAAGGTACTAGGATTATAATTTTTAATACGCCAGACGCGCGTTTCGTCTACATAAGACTCCTCAGTGACGCTCAGATCAAAATAGTTATAAGGCAAAACAAGTACAAAGTTGAAGAGCATTGAGGACCCAAAGTTCCAAAAAGTTGTGCCAAGCGTGTGTTTTTCTATGTAGGATGAGTTCGTTTCCAGTTTAAAACTGGATTCAAAATGTTCTACTACAAAATATTAAACAAGTTAACTTTATTCACAAATTAACGTCAATGAACCAAAATATGTACAACTGCTCTTTGCGTTCTCTAATAAACTTTTTATAACTATTATATTTAAAATATATACACTTGGTACAAATTTGTATTATTACATATTTGTCCCGGGTCAGGAACAAACTTGTCCTCTTGTTACAATTATGTACCCTACAAGTTTACACACTTGTCCTTGATACATTGATATATCAACCTCATTTGTAAACTGTAAGATATGCCTCCCTTTTTCCGAAAGTCACACCAAAATATGTTACAACGAATGCAAGAATTTTATTTTGTTGCACGATAGGAGTTACTGTAAACCAACTTATTTTCGCGGATATTTTATTTCGCGTTAAGCCCTTTCTATCCCTTTTTGCGGCGATTTAATTTCGCGATTTTCAAATTTACTTGAAGTATTTGAATAAGGAACGATCTATTTTTTTTACATATTCGCGACGATTTATATTCGCGTTATTTTTCTTCTCGCGAAAGCCGCGAAAATAAATCGCTCGCGAAAATAAGTTGGTTTACAGTATGCCTTTTCTCATATGACATGGTTTGCATTCTAGGTGACATTGTTTTAACTATATGAAAATGGGGCTCAACATAAACACTTTGCTTGATACAAATGCAGTGTAACTAATCTAAATACAAAAGAGAACGATTGTAATAGGTTTTGTGGTTTACTGAATGTCTATAAAGATATTCACTGCAAGCGATTCAATATATTCAAAGTATGTTACCAATTTGAATTAAACGATTTACAAAAAAAGACTTTGTATCAATTTCCTAAAACACTTTTACATTGCTCTGTGCAATAACGGATGCTTACGCCAAAAGATTCACACGGTTTGTTTTGTATTTTTAAATTTGAATTTCCTTATTGACTATTCAAACATTGTTTTTATTCTCTGTGGCTGTTCGTTATAAAACTGGTAGGATAATAATTATTATTATTATAATCTAGTCTACACAATATTCAATAAACACACGACATTAACAAACTCTCTGACCTGAGCTAAGGTGTTCATTAAAATCCTCAGGTATACTGAACAGTTGATTCTTTCCTTACATAACGTCATTCAGGATCAAAGAGACAAATTTGTACAAACTTCATCGTTACGAAATATGATGTATAAGCGAAAGGGGCGAGTCATCTAATCTTTAATGTATAAATTTATTCAAATTAATGTTAACTGTTAACCGATTCGGTTCTTTCGGTGCAAAATTGTAATTACTTTGATATAGTGACGTCATGAGCATAATTTGAATCGAAGAAATTTAAACATGAACTTTAGTTTACTTACTTAAAAACTACTGAGATCATACTCCAAAAATAAATAGTTGACTCTTAAAGCTATTGCTAGTAAAAATTGGTAGTTGGAATTAAATGGTATGGAAAATAATAAGACAAGGTATTAACACTAATATACAGACCTTAAAAACGCAGAGATAAATATTTGTTTTCATTTTCAATTATTCAATACTTGTAAAATAGAATTGTTTTACACTAGTTATTTTGGGGAATTTTATAGCTTGCTGTTCGGTTCTATTAATAGTTCGAAAGATGAATTGGTTACGTCATATTAAATGTTCAAATCATGTACTGATAAAAGTGACACAAATAAAAATATAGAACTCCAAGGGAAAATCAATACGGAAAGTCCTTTAGAAAATGGCAAAATCAAATCTCAAATACGTCAAACGAATAGAACACAGCTGTCATTTTCCTGAATTAGTACAGGCATTTCCAAATATAGAACTTGGTGGATTATATCTGGTTTTATAGAACATGTTTTGACTTTAATAATGTGTGTGTCCACCATCAAAAGCAATCACTGATGGTAACCATCGCCTAAATGAGAAGTCGACCAGTTCTTTGTTCAGTTGTATATCAAAAGCTCCAATCAATAAATTCGTGCCGCGTCAATATATAGTGCGGTATGTCTTACTGCCAGTTTATTCGTGTATCTAGTCAAAAGAAGTATAACAACATTACTACAAATAATTTGAAGATAAATCGTGATTTGATGAGAGAAAAAAAAGGTTTTCAAGTTCCTCAGTATTCTGTTAGTTTATATCATTTGTCACATATATCTGGGCCGTAAATTCACAAAATTTATTTCTAATTGTAGAAAAAATAATTTGAATCGCATTTTCTGCACGACATTGTTTCACATGAGTCTAGGAAATGTCCTTTCTTATTCAGCAAATACACGAGTCTTTGTATTTTTCAGCTAAAAAGGAAATCACCGGGCAATATGAGGCAAGCTGTGTTTTTAAGGGTATTATTGATGGCTTCCTTGTTCAGTGGTGACTGTTACAAAGACAACATAGTACCAGGAAAAACGGCAACAAATTTCCACTGTAAACATTATAATCAACATAAAGAGATACACGTTGATTGTTCTTACAAAAACCTGACAGTTGTTCCAGATACACCAGCTGGCACGGTTTACCTCTATATACAACATAATTTAATCGGACACATATTCAATAGAACCTTTTCCCTTTTGAAAAGGTTGGTTGTCTTAGATCTATCTTTTAACAAAATCACTGAAATCGATGAAGATTCATTCAAAGGCCTCCAGAACCTGCGGTTTCTTTATCTCAGCAGGAATCAAATATTAAGATTGCCAAAAAATGTATTTAAACATCTATTCAGTCTTACTGTGTTGGATCTATCCTACAATAATATAAACCCAATTTATGAGTTCACATTTTTTGGACTTGTCAACTTACAGCACCTCATATTGAGCACTAACGGAATCGACGAAATACTAAATGATACCTTCCAATACACACCAAAGCTTGTCAAACTTGATTTATATCATAATTCATTAGAGTCAGTAACTAAAGGAATGTTCACTGCACTTGGAAACCTACATGAGCTTAATCTCGAGTATAATTTCATAGAAAATATTGAAAACAACGCTTTTCAATCGTTACTCAATCTGACTGTACTGGCTTTATCATCTAATGGGTTGCAGTCAGTAAATCATCACATGTTCGCTGGGCTTACAAATTTGCGTAATCTGGATTTATCATTGAATGCGTTGCAGCCAGTAAATCATCAAATGTTCGCTGGTTTTACAAAGTTGCGTAATCTTAACTTAATGTTTAATCAAATGAAAGAAATAACAAATCATACCTTTAAAGATTTAAGTGATCTCAACATACTGGATCTATCATTTAACGAGTTGCAATCACTAAATGAAAAGACATTTTTAGGACTTAATAACCTTCAAGTTCTAGTACTAGAAAATAATAACCTAGGATATAATACGAAACAGTTACCACCTGGGTGTTTTAAACCTTTAGAGTCACTTAAACAACTTTCTGTTCTAGAGAATAATCCTCAACGGAAAGTCCTTGGTACGTTCATTCTTCCGGATGAAACAGTCAAAGATTTGAAAATGTTGGATATGCTTAAATTAGATGTTAATTCCGATAAGGAAAGAATACTAGGGATTGGATTTTCTTCTTTACATAATCTTTCTTCACTTATTTTTAGTGGTGTCTGTAATTTTTCTTTATATAATGACACATTCAAATACACGCCAAATTTGACTAATTTAAGCATTATAGATTGCAATGTTATGTTCATAGAGACTGGAACTTTTCGTATTTTAACCAAGCTTGAATATGTGCAACTAGACTTCGTTTGCTATGACCTTTTATCTAAGCCTTATACATTGATTGATATCATTTCAAGCTTGTCCATGACACAAATTAAAGTCCTGAAAATGAAAAGTGTTCTTGTAAGAGAAATGGTGCCTTGGAAAGATATTAATGTTATGCTGTTTGAAACTCCAATACGTGAACTTCATCTTACAAACAATGACCGTTGTGCTGGAACGCGCTCTTTCCGTAAAGAAAGTTCTATACCAGCACCACTCAGTTTGCAAAGTCTTGATTTAAGTTACAATCAGATAAATAAGATCTATCTTAATCTAACGTTTGTTACATTTCTGAACTTAGAGGGTAATGCACTTGGTCCGTTCAGAAATAAGCAGACGTCAGTATGTTTGTCTCTCAAAGAATTCAATCCAGCATCTATACTCCAAATTGTTCGTTGACCAACCGTATTTGCGCATAATTGATTTAAGTTATAATAAGCTGACAGATGTGAGTTTTGACTTATCTCATTTAGTAGATTTAGAGATTTTAGACTTGTCAAGCAATACCATCCGGTTTTTGGATGACGGATCAATGAACAACATTGACAGACTTTTCGAGAAAAGTAAAAGTATAAAGGTTGACTTCAGCAACAATACATTTCGATGTAACTGTTACCGAATCCCAGTTTTGAATTGGACGTGGAGTCGTAGTCATCGTTTCATAAACTTTGATACATACACATGCAGATTTGATAATGGAAGCATTCTGGCATTAAATTCACTTAAAAAAGGAACTATAATCGATCTACAGCGTGACTGTTTGAATTTTTCAATGTCAATAATTATCACATGTTCTGCAATATTTGTCTTCATAGCAATATTAGTTACAATCTCTATTCACAGACACAGACAGAAACTTCGTTTCATTTTTTACACATTTAGAGGAAGAATTCACTTCTTATATTATAAAACAAAGTTTAAGAAACGGTTTCGGTCTACAAAACATTCAGAAATCAAGATGGACTTTATGTATGATGCCTTTGTGTCATATTCTGATGAAGATCGAGCATTTGTTTTGAATGATTGCATCACAAATCTCGAAGAAAAAGGAAATCTAAAGTTATGTTTACATCACCGTGATTTTGTTCCAGGAGAAGATATAACAGATAACATTATACATGCAATTGAAAGCAGCCGAAAGACAATCTGTATAATAACAAGATCTTTTCTACAGTCTTACTACTGTATGTTTGAATACAACATGGCTAGAATGGAAAGTATTCACTCAAGAAATGGAAAAAATGTTCTTTTTCTTGTATTTTATGAACAATTATTACCAGAGGAGTTACCTTTGGTTTTATATGAAGTTATTCAGAAACAAACATATATTGAATTTCCGAATGACGAACATGGTAATAGGATTTTCTGGGGGAAAATAAAGGACGGTATATCTGCTTAGTCATCTAGTCAGCAATAACAGTAAGCAGATATCCAGTTGAGGAACATGGACATAGGATTTTCTTCGTGACATTATGAATGATGGTATATGTAGACATCAAAGTAATTACAACATAAGCAAATATCAGAATAATGAACATGGGAATAAGATTCTCTTGGGGAATATAAGACATAAAAATGAAGATGTGGTATGATTGCCAATGAGACAACTCTCCTCAACAAGAGACCAAAAGACACAGAAATTAACAACTTTAGGTCACCGTACGGCCTTCAACAATGAGCAAAGCCCATACCGTAGATAGTCAAAGGCATTGAAATGACAAATGTAAAACAATTCAAACGAGAAAACTAACGGCCTAATTTATGTACAAAAAATGAAAAAGAAAAAAAAAAATATGTAACACATCAACAAACGTCAACCACTGAATTACAGGCTCCTGACTTGGGACGGGCACATACATACAGAATGTGGCGGATTAAACATGTTGGCGGGATCCCAACCATTCCATAACATGGGACAGTGGTGTAACAGTACAACATAAGAATAAGAGTTGCCATTTCTGCTTAAGCATCTTGGCAGCTATAACAGTGAACAGATAACCGGAAAACATTTAATTATGATTTTCAGGGGGAACGAGAAAACTGTGTACTCCCATACACTTTGGAGAACAAAAAAATTCTGCCCAGTAATTCAGTATATTTAGGAATGAATATTATTTGTACTGTCACGTAATGTTATCTTTTAGCAGTAATTATTGCCATATAAAACGGTGGGTATGTCCTGTACCAAGTCATAAATATGACAGGTGTTATCAAATAGCTGTTTCTGTGTTTTTTGACGTTTGTAAATATGTGTTTGTAGCAGTTCAATGTTTGTTGTTTCCTCTTATAGTTGATGTGTGGTTTGTGATCCGTATTTTGTTCAATTAAATCGATTGAGGCCTTTATTTATACATCTCTATTTCCTGCAACATTAGACATGGTTCCAAGAGATTATCAAAACAACGTAATTAAATCACCACAGCTGCATTGCAGACAACTATCTGCTAAACTAGAGTTTGGACTCTAAATAACTAGACTGGCCTACTGAAGACGTCATAAAATTTAAGAATGCCGTTAAGAGTCACGCTATAATATACTGCCTGTAAAATATCATTATCTTCAACTAAATTTAGCAGACGAAAATGTAATTTTATTTCAACATAATTGTATTGAAAATTAACGATTAAAATAAACTTGCAAAAATATCAGTACAATTATTAGAAACGGATTCTACTTTATTAAAATATTATAACAAAAATACAATCATACTAAAAATAGAAAATTTTAAAGTTCTGATTGTGCCACATGAAAAGTTCTGATTGTCCAACATTATTTAATGATGTGAAATGTTCTTGAATAAACAAGAGACTTGATGTTTGTTTTGTTAAAAAACAAGAAGTAATTATTTTCTGTTCAAACTATAATTTGATATAAATCTTATTTATGTTTAAAATAAGTTTTTTCTTACATCATCAAATTAAAGCACTTTTCACTGATATATAACATTTCTGAGTTTTAAAATCATCTCTGATTAATGCACTTTTCATTAAATGATACAACATTTCTTATTCATGAAATATATCTAAAGTGTTACTTTTATTTATACAAAAAAAACAATACCATCATGTGTGATTATTTGTTTTTGTTTTAGATTTTAAATAAATTTTATATTATGCAAACAATTAAAAAAGAGTACTTCAATTGTACTTTATATGTGCGAAAAAAAATGTAAATATTATTTTATGTTTGTGTTTGTTTCATATTTTGCATGTTACAATGATTAGCTACCTGTAATGACCTGCTGCACACTATACAAACAAATTAATCACTATCAAAATAATTCCCGACTGTCCAACAAATAAATTTCCTAATTGTCCCACAAACATCTTCCCGATTGTTCCTACAAAATTTTATTACCTTTTAACCTTTTTTATTAATGTTCATTCATACATACCTGTGAATAGCTTTTAATCATATTTAAATCAATATTAAACTGGTAATTTCCAAACCAGGAAAAGATATTAATACAATAATAGTAAATTGATAACGGAAAGTGCGAACTATTTCCGGAAATATTTTCTTTCCAAACAAGCTAGATAATACATATCGATAAATAAGGTATTTCATACATACTTATTTATTTACAATTAAAAATGAAATATTATGATTTAGTTTAGATGAATTGTAATGTATTATTGATAACCAGAGAGAAACCCTGGATTTCTTGTAAAAATAAAAAGACCCTTCACTAGAATGCTGGACTAGTGAAGTAAATTGTTAACAACATGCAATATATTGTGGAATAAAAAAAAAACCTTTTAACCTGTAATTTCAAAAAGTGGGACAATCGGGAAGACATCGTTTATTTACACATTGTTTTCAAAATAATGGAGTTGTATGAGACTGTCACACAGGTGAGAGGTTTAGCTAGCTATAAAACAAGGTTCATATTATTTTCTTTATACGAAACTGCCTGTACCAAGTCAGGAATATGACACTTGATATCCATTCCTTTAAATGTTTTTGATCTTTTGATTTGATATTTTGATAATGGACTTTTCGTTTTGAATTTTTGGTATTTTTGGTATTTTACCTTTTAGCTTTCTCGTTTGAGATTTATAGAGATCATAATTCAAAAATATATTTTATTCTAATAAATTATTGTTGGTTAACAGTATTTCTCGTGTTTGATTTGATATAATTTATCTAATAAGTTATTTAAATACTCATAAAAATCCTATTGGTTATATTCAGTTACCCGAAAAAAATCAAGACACGGAATTTACAGTAATAGGTAATAATATTTATCGATCGTTATCACTATTCTAAATGGTTTGTAATCGGCTAAATATTCTAGTCAATTTAGTGAACAACCTGCAACTAATTGCAACACAAAGTGTTTCTCTGAAAAACAAGTCTGTCACTATCTATGAACAACATACTAAAACTATACAAAAATATATTTTGCGGAAAGTGGTTTAATTTATAAAAATTGTTTTGTAGTAAAAGTAAGGTTATATGAGTTGCTTCCCCTTATTTGCCAAAGTTGGAAAAAAAATAAAATTATACAAAAAATGTTCTTTATTTTTTAAAACAGTTGAAATAATACAATACAATACATAATTATTTCAGTTTAAAAGAATAATATTACAAATGAATCACTTTCCTGTCTCAAAATTTGAATATTTGAATAAAGATATAGACCGAGATTGTGTTCTGCTATTTTACAATCCAAGAATCTAATTCTCCAAAATAGTGTTGGTAAGTAACCTATAAATAGAAAACTGTACTGAATTACAGTAACCAACTTAGTCACATTCTTACTTGGTATTTGAAAGAATTCTGCCCCTGTGTTAAAGGCACAGACAGTTTATTTACTGTTGGGGGAGGGGTTCCAGAAACACATGTTTTGTTCTTTATAAAAAAAATGTTATTGCAAGATTCAAACTCTTTAATGTATTTTTTTTCCACAACTTTAGAAAGAAAACAATATATTTTTTTCATTTCCCTTCTGGAACAAACATGTTAAGATATTCGAATCCAACAATATTTCATAAAAAAATTAAACTGATGAGTATTTAATGATTTTATGTTAAATATTTTTTCACAAATGAAAATTTCAGGCTCCTCGAAGCAAATAGCTACTCATGTAATTTGCGACGATCTCAGTACTCACACACCATATAAATAAAGCTTTGACTGTAACACTGAATCCACTTTTCACTTTGGTTACTTATCGGATGTGTACTTATTTATATTTTAGTCGGTGCAACAGTATTTATTCATCAACTGTAATTACTAAGCTTTGAACTAGCTATGAGACCTCAGTGTATTTTTGTTAATTGGTTATATACTCCGTGCTGATCTTTTTGAGTTGAGCCCTTTCCAACTGGGTTTTACAATTTGTTCTTATGTTGTTTGCTATTTAGATAAGATTGAGAATGGAAATGGGGAATACTGTATGTCAAAGAGACAACAACCCGACCAGATCAAGAGCAGATAACAGCCGAAGGCCACCAAAGGGTCTTCAACGCAACGAGAAAATCCCGCACCAGGAGGTGGTCCTCAGCCGGCCCCTAAATAAAAACTGTTTCTGATTATTAGAGGGTTGAGTGCTCGCAAACAGGGTTAACCCTGCACACTATGAATATGATTATCACAAGTCAGTGGCCCTTTATTACTTGGTTGTTATTGTTTGCTGTCTGTCATATTTGTTTTTCCGTTTATTGTTTTAACATTAATCAGGCCTTTCAGTTTCTCGTTTGACTTGTTTTATATTTTGACGATGAGCTATAGTTGTTTACATCCACACCCACATCATTGATATCTCTTGTGGACAGTTTTCTCATTGGCAATCATGCAACATATTCTTATGTTTTTAAAATGGGGAGATTTTATAATAAGTGATGGTCTCATTGGCAAGCGATCAAACTCACTACCAAGAGATCACTAATAGAGTTTAGTGGACCTTAAAAGTTAAACATTTATATTCTTTTGGCATGAGGTGTATTTTTTTAAATATTTTTACAGTTTCGTTCAAATGAGTTGAATACAGATCAGCATTCCGGAAGCAGAAAACAGCGTCTTTAACATTGATATATCTGTAATAGAGTATATTTATGAATACAGAGAGATTTGAGGTTTTTAAAGTCAACAAGAAAGCAACCCAAAGTAACAAAAAGACATACTTTCAGATAAGACATGACTATCTGAACGCTATCTCTGGCCATCAAAGTCGCCCACAGACACTACAA